CGTCATAGAGGCCTGGCAAGGAAGAGCGGGCCCATCACAGTGCCACCGCTGCCAGGCCTTTGGCCACGCCTCCACAAATTGCTTCAGGCCAGTGAAGTGTGTTCGCTGTGCCGGAGACCATATAGCTAGCAACTGCCCAAGGGGTAGAGATGAGGAACCGCGATGCGCTAATTGCGCCAAAAACCACACCGCTAACGATCGCCGCTGCCCAGTCCTGAGGAGGATTGCAAGGAAGCAGGGGATCACTCTACCGGGACTACTCCCAGAGGAGCCCAAGAGGGTCCCCCAAAGTCGTCCCAGGGCCGTGGTTCAGGAAGACGGGTGGACCACCATCAGAGGAAAAGGAAGGCAACCTGCCCCCCCCTCCACCCGTCACGGCACCCACAGGAACGGTGGTACCTACCATGAGCACAACTAAGGCAACCACCGGGGGCGACTCTTCAGCCCCCCCGCTAACGACGCCATAGAGCGCCAAACCTCACAGAGGAGTAAGCGGGGGAGGAAGAAGAAGAAGGTGCAGCCTCCTCCTCAGGCAGCAACCTCTACCCCAACCCCAACGGTAACGATAGCCCAGGCGCAGGTTACCATGGAAGGAAAGAAAGCCAGAATGGGTAGAGTGCCAGAAAGGGCTCTATCAGAAAATAGAGCCCGCTCTACACATAGAGCGCGCTCTACCCATGAGCAAAGATCAGCATACCAACACCCGAGACCAGCGCCATCATCCGCAACTAGAACACCTCTAGCCGGCTTCGAGACTGCTGACGCCATCCAACGTTTGGTTGGCATAGCAATCGAGGTCGGCAGTCAAGTCCTGGCTGACATTAGAGCCGGGACAGATCCGATTACAGCGGTTATGAAGGCGCTGGCTAATCTACTGGCTCGGCACTACAGTGGAGGAGTCTAACCTGCGCCTCCTCTACTGGAACCCTGGTGGAATCCAGCAGAAGTTACAAGAACTCCGCACCGTCGCCCAACAACAAGACGTACATGTCATCTTGCTGGGAGAGACGAAGTTAAATCCGAGTACACGCATAAGGCTGCCTAATTACCACCTGTATAGGAGGGACGAGGTCACCTCTCAAGGGGCCGCTTACAGAGGGACAGCGGTCCTAGTGAGAAGGGACTTCGTCCATCAAGAACTTGACCTACCGGAATACCAGACTATGCGCTCTATCGGCATAAAAATGGAGGCGGCGGGCGAGGAACTTAGGATCTTTGCAGCATACCGCCCGCCAGGGACTCCATTTTGCTCCTCAGACGTCCGGACGGTAATGGAAGGCGAAACACCGACCATCATCGCCGGGGACCTAAACGCCAAACACCCGGCGTGGGGATCTAGACTGATCAACCCGCCGGGTCATGCGCTATTTGAAGATGCCGAAAGATACGGCTATGACGTTTTAGGTCCTGAAGAACCGACACACATTCCTACGGATCCACGAAGTCGTCCGGATGTACTGGACATCGTGCTCGCTAGGAACATCAACTACCCGATAGTGGTAGAGGTGCTGTACGACCTGGAATCACAGCACCTCCCGATCTTAATCACCCTTGGCCTAAAGGCGGTGACTACGCCGCCCAGAACAGTGAAGACACGTGTCGACTGGAGGCTCTACCACAAACACCTGCAGGAGAGACCTCCAGCACACCACCCCTTAAACACAGCGGACGACGTAGAGGCCGCAGCCACAAACATGACAAAGGCGATACAGGAGGCCCTCAACGCTGCCTCTACGGTCGTCCCGATGTCCTCCAGAAGGGATGATCTGCCGCATAACATCTGCGTGCAGATCAAGAGAAAAAGGGCTTTAAGGAGACTCTGGGCGCGTACTCGCTGCCCGAGAATCAAAACGAGACTGAACACCTTGTCGGAGGAACTGTCGGTTGCAGTCCAGGCACACAGAGGAGATGCCTGGGAGCGGCGCATATGGAAGGCGGAAGAGCACGATGCGTCGCTCTACAAACTGAACCGGCAGTTAACTAAAGCCAAACCTCCCGTTTGCCCGCTGACCAACAACGCGGGCGAACGTTGTTACGATGCCAAGGGGAGAGCGGATATCCTAGTCGAGCACTTCGAGGAGCAATTTATGCCGAACCCAGCAAGTGCGGAGTTCTTGGAGCTTCATGCCCGAAAGGAGAGTCGCGTACAGGAGTTCCTGTCGTCGCCCGCGCCGCCTCTTGCAGGAGAGTGGTTCATCTCCCCCGCTGAACTGCGGTGGACAGCAACCCGCCTGCAACCGAGGAAGGCGCCGGGGCACGACGGGATTACCAACGCTGCACTCCGACAGCTGCCCCATAGAGTCCTAGTAGAGCTTGGTCGACTCTACAATGGGATCCTGCGGACATCCCACTTCCCGGAGGACTGGAAGAAAGGCAAAGTTATCGTCTTGCCGAAACCCGGGAAGGACAGGCGTAGAGCTGCCAGCTACAGGCCGATCACGCTGCTACCACACATAGCTAAACTGCTTGAAAGATTGTTGCTAAGACGCCTCCGCCCGTGCATCCAACTTCGGGCGGAGCAGCACGGATTCAGGAGGGGTCACTCTACAGCAACACAGCTGACCAGAGTGCTGCACCTGCTTGCGGCCGATTACAACCGTGGCCGCACCACGTTGGGCGTCTTTCTCGATATCGAGAAGGCGTTCGACAGGGTGTGGCATTCTGGATTACTTTTTAAATTGGAAGAACAGACCAGTGTCCCTCCTGCTATGTTGCGGCTAGTGGCGTCTTTCCTGGCAGACAGGAAGTTCTACGTCTGCGTAGAGGGCGCCGAGTCCGCAACCAGAACCATCAGAGCCGGCGTTCCTCAGGGCAGCTGTTTGTCTCCAGTCCTGTACGCGGCTTATACCAACGACATCCCGACCCTGGCAGGCAGGCTGCAAGAATGGGAGGACGACGTGGAATTGGCGTTATATGCGGACGATAGCGCTTATTTCACCTCTTCCAGAAGAGCCCATATTGCCGCTGCCAGGATGCAACGCCTTCTGGACCTGTTGCCACCATGGCTAGATGAGTGGAGGATGGTCGTCAACGTTGGTAAGACGACCGCTCTGCTCACTCGCCGCCTCAGGAACCTACCACCTCAATTAACCCTCAATGGCCAGCAGATCGCGTACGAGAAGGCCGTGACCTACCTTGGGTGCCGGATCGACCGGGCGCTGCGCATGACTGCGCACGTCGACCTCGTCGTCCGTAGAGCACGATGTGCGCGGGCGATGCTACGTCCGGTCCTGGCATCCAAGTTACCACTTAATACTAAAGTGCGTGTTTATAAAACCTATATCAGAGCCATCATCACCTATGCTGCTCCGGCCTGGTACGCGCTTCTGAGTGAGCCTCTGAGGCGGCGACTGCAGGCCCAGCAAAACATGGCGTTAAGAACCATCGTCGGTGCGGGTCGCTACGTCCGGAATGACGTCATAGCGGCCAACCTGAAGATCGACACCATACAGGAATTTGTGGCCCGGTTGGCGCGCGGACTGTTCGACCGCGCAGACAACGGGCCGCATATACACCTTAACAACTTTGCGCCGCTACACACTCGCCCCCCGGACGGGCGACCATATCCAAGAGAACTCCTCTCTATATCGATTAGAGAGTCGAGTAACAACCCTCAATGCCGCTGAAAGGCCAACCTTGACTTTACTGGATAACCTTCCTTTTTCGTAGTCTTAACCGGCTACGAAAAAATTTTACCGATTACGGACAATCCGAATTATGACACCTACAACGCCAATAGAAGGCTCCCAGGACCGGTCCATAGTGGTGGACCGCGAGGACAGCACGGGTAATGGGGGCTTACCCCGAGGCCCGAAACCTCCATGTGCATATGCATATGAAGAAGACATCAACGTTGCTTGCGGCTTCGATACGGAGTGGTAGTGTTGTAGTATTCGTGAATAACATAATTTCATATATAATGATTTCTTATATTTACGCGAACACTATACATGATTAAAACTACTTTTACGGATTTTATCGCGTTTTTTACTTTTTATTTTTTTTTATTTTTAATTCCCGACGTTTCGGGCGCTTTCCAGCACCCATGGTCACGGGGGACTGAGATGACTGACGTCCCGATGCCATTGTTAAACCCGGAGTACCTTCAGCTTTTTTAATTATTGTTTATGGTCCGATCTATGCAAAATGAACTGACTATGTCGTGAGGTCTTGCAGTGGTATGCTTGGGTTTAGTTTTAATTTTATTGATTATAGGATCCCAAGCAGGTGGTAGTACCCAGCCTCCTTCTCTATTGAAATTAGGATGTTTTTTTAATTTCAATAGCCTCACGTATCATCCTTGGTAGGAATCGGTGTTCTTTCGCGAGGATTTGTGGTCTATCAAATCTGATGTAATGGTTGGGTCCGTCTAGGACATGATCACAAACTGCAGACTTCCCGGAACGTTGATGCTTGACATCAGCTATATGTTCTTTTACGCGGGTCCTAATTGATCTTTTTGTTTGTCCTATATAAGAGAGACCACATTCACAATCAAGCTTGTACACTCCTGCATCTTGTAGAGGAATACGACACTTGACGGATGGTAGGAACTGACTAATCTTCTTCGGCGGCTTGTAGAATGTTTTAATAGAAGCTCGCTTCAAGATATAGCCAATCTTGTCTGTGACACCTCTGACATATGGTAGTACAGCAGGCACACGGTCGACTGTGGCCGGCTTCACTCGATCACTGTGACGTAGGCGCGGGACCCGAAGCTTGTTGTCGTGCAGAACTTGCTTGACGTGCTGAAGCTCGGCGGCCAGGTGTTTGCTGTCACAGATCCCTCGTGCTCTCTGTAACAAAGATTTGCCCACGGTAGCTAACTGTGAAGGATGGTCACCATCTAACTGTGAAGGACGTCAGTCATCTCAGTCCCCCGTGACCATGAAACGTCGAAGCGAAACGTCGGGAATTAAAAATAAAAGTAAATAAAAATTAAAAATAAACGCGATAAAATCCGTAAAAGTAGTTATAATTTCATATACTTAAACAACGAAATGATAGAATTTAACTGGGATGATAGTGCAGTACTTTTACTAATAGAAAAGTATCAAGAAAATGAACTATTGTGGAACCCAAGGCATATGGATTTCAAAAATCGCAACAAAAAAAATGATGCTATTAGACATATTGCTTCTGTGTTTAACATAGCATCATCAGAAATTGAGAGAAAACTGAAGAATTTAACCAGCCATTATTTTCGAGAAAAACGAAAATATGAAGAATCTAAAAGGAGTGGATCTGGACGGGAAGATGTTCAATTGCCGAAATGGTTTGCTTATAAGGCGTTATCATTTCTTAATGACAAGAATGCACCGGTACCGACTCTGAACAGCCACACATCTAAAGTAAGTATCCATCAAATTCTTATAATTAAGTAGACTAGTTGGTCGCCCATTGGTCGAAAATCGACCATAATTAATTTAAAATACATTATTTCAATAAGTAATATTTTAGTAAATTGGGGTACAAAGTTTTTGCCTCGCGTATTAATATTGGATACCTACTACCTACTGTAGTGTGTTAGGGCAGGTTAAAATAAACCTATCATTTAAACACTACTTTTATAAAGAAATATAAATGTTTATTAACATCGATAAAACTAAAATAATAATGCGCGGTGCGAGTTACGAAAAGACATGCAGTCGCCGTAGATGTTAAGCTTGTTTGTAATTATTTATAAGATTTCCTTTTTATTTTCAGTCTTCTCAAGATAATAATCACTCACCAGACTACGCTACCTTCGACAAGGACTTCACGAAAACGAAATATAGAGAGAGATCCTGAAGTTGATGAAGCATTGCAATTACTGAGGGAGATTACATCTGATGCAAGGCAACGCGATGATGCTGCTATATTTGCAGACTATATAAGTAGCAAGTTGAGGAAGATGGATCGTTACACGTATGTGTACAGTACAACATCAAATCCAGACTATTGTCTATGAAGCAGAAATGAGAATGGGTTCGATGTATTTTGATAGGACCAATAATACTACTCAGCCTCTTCGTTATCAAAATGTTCGTCCAGAATACTTCACAGGCCAACCTACAACGTCAGCAATGTCACTGTCGCCCTCAACTTCGCGCTCTTACTCTGTTCAATCAGACTATGAAATGCAAAGCAGCCCAGATGTCAACACAAGTGATAGTCTGTTACTAGTCTTGGAAAATAATTTAACCGAAAATAGTGTAATAGATTAAAATAAATGTTTATATTTTCGGTTAAATTATTTTATTTTATTAAAAGCTTAAAATTATTGATAAGTGTTTCAGATTCCTAAATAAAAAAATTATTTGAATAATTACATTTTATTTCTTTCAAACATTATATTTGATATTGCCACGGAAGCTGACCTTGTTCCGATAGAAAATAACATTTTAGCTCATTTCTAATTACACTTGGTTCTACATTTATAGCGATCTGCGCAATATTTTGTTGCTCTTCGTTCAAAACTCCATCAGTAGTTCTTTCATTTCTCTTCATAAAATTATGCAGATGCACACAAGCCATCACGACAATTTTTGCTTTCTCATTTTGTAAACCAATGCGTGAATGCAAAATTCTGAATTTATTAGATAAAATGCCAAACGCGTCTTCTACAACCATGCGCCCGCGACTAATTCTATAATTAATAACCCTCTCAGGTGATCCTTTTTTTGATATCCAGAAAATGGTTTTATTATATTCTGTGAGATGGGGAAAGCATCGTCACCGATAAAATAAAAAGGTACAGGTGTATTTCTCCCTTGTAATGGAATCGCTTGTGGCAGACTTAAAGTACCATCTCGTATCATATCAAATGAAGTTGAATTTCGTAGAACTCCACCATCAGATATTCTGCCCTGACATCCTGTCCACGTATAAAAAGTTATAATTGGCATCGATTAAAGCTAGCAAAACAATACTGAAATATGACTTATAGTTAAAAAACTCGGAACCGCTATTATTTGGACATAGTATACGTATATGTTTCCCATCGAGGGCACCTACGTAATTAGGTACATTCCATTTCTGCAGGAAACTCCGAGCCACTAATAGCCATTCTCCCTGTGTATTCGGCATCTGTAAAATAAAATTGTTTGTGATATTTGTGTGTGTAGTTTTTAGTTATATATATGTAAAATGTGTGTGAAGTTCCAGGTACAGTATAAAATCATAGACATTATAATTCGACTAGGAATAGATACGTCACTTAGGAAACCGTTGTCCTGTGAACTCTCCTGGCAAGAATCTTTTAGTTATAATGTTTGTGTCTTGTACATGCCATAACTGTGTGAATAATAATAATAATAATATATAATAAATAATAATCTGTTTTGATTTCTAATATAGGCGTCCGTTTCTAACTACCTAATGTGTTATGGATATTTGTACTTACCCTTAAATAATTGGATAATGTAGATACCAAAGCTTGACAAACATTTGGAATTATTAAAGAAATAACTTGTGGAGACACTTTAAACAGTGTACCGAGTGAAAAATAAGAGTCTCCTGTAGCCAGGTATCTCAAAGTAATTGCTAGTCGATCGGAAACTGACACAGCATTTCTCCAGCTTGTGTCAGTTTTTGATATCATGGGTCCAGTTAAATTCAGTAATATTTCAAATTCTTCACTAGAGATCCTTAGAAAAGTGTTAAATTTCGAACGAATATTTCTTCGGTTTATGTCGTCCTTTCTAAAATCTTCAAGTATGAGGGACACCTTAGGCCTATTTCGTAGACTTGGTCTGACCCAATGTCTTCGTTTGATTTTGCGGTTCTTTTTATGAATAATAACATACAACGCTACACTTGCGATACACGCAACTATATTATAGTCCAACATCTTCCAATCTTACGTACACGACTAACTTCGACGAAAGTCACAACACTACTGCGAAAATTGCAACCGCATCTGCAGGCAAATTTAGCGGCAAGGCAGTCTGAAAGCCAGCGGCAAACCCGGCGGCATAAGCCGGCGGCATGTGTGGATACGCCATAAGAGTTTATATGGACCATAAGTTCTACATAAGTTTACTATTCGTTTATTAAAATTTTTCCTATATTACTTGGTTGAGAAAAATTAGCACGGCCGGTTTTAAAAGTAGTGTTAGTGTTACAACCAATAACAAGAACATATAATTGATATACACAAGAAACAGCATAAGTAGTATATTATGTAGCATGCAGTCTTGTGGTACACTAGCGTTAATACGCTCGTAGTCGGAGTATGCATCGTCTACTACGACTACTACTACTACCTTGATGCTTCGATCTGCAAGAAAGCTGATGATCCAATTGCACAATTTCTCGGGAAACCCATAGGGAGGAAGCATCTAAAGAAGTGCTTTGTGCCAAAGTCCATCGAAGGTCTTCACAATGTCTTGGACTCTACTGCTTCAGGTCATCTGAGTCAGGTAACTTAGAAGATTAGAATTAGAACAAGTTGATTAGTTAATCCTCCTCAAATTACTTTATCAGCTGGTAGTTTATAACGGTTTCATTATTTTGGAGAACAAAGAGGCGATGGTGCGAAAAGCGTTAGATGGGTCTGAGCAGTCGCCTTTTTAGGGATCGGGTGCGCTAAAGCCGTCTGCCGTAAATTCAGGATTACGTTACGCCTAGGGAGTAGTAGTAACGGAAAAGACGTTAAAACCGGTGCTCACTCCGGAGCACCCGTCTTCAGCACTAAAGGAGAGACTCCATCAAGCCCACTCGAATTACTGACATCCAGAGAGAGGAGTGCTTTGCACACTGAGTACTGTGTAAACTGCAGATGCAGCATGAAGCAATCACACCGCAAGATGGTCTGCAGTGTGCACGCCCCGTCATCGAGAGTTGATTCGGACTCAAAAAGAGAACCAAAAAGATAGACCTATTCTTTTGCGGCATGGGCCAGTGTCTTCGAGTCGTTCTCCCTGTGCAGAGACGGAACAGATGACTGACAGAATCTTGAAAAGTAAAATCTTTGAATTACGTCCAGTCAGTCAACGAGTCTTATTTATACAATCTACTTATTTGTTTTGTGCAAATATAAAGAAAGAGAAACAAGTAAAATACTTGCGCCTCTCGAATCTTGCGCCTTAGGCTCCGGCCGAGTTAGCCTGTGGGTAAATTAGGCCCTGACTGCTGAACTTAGGCCTCCTCCATATATTACGTCATAAGGGTCGTATTATATAATTTGCCATAGTTGCCACTCTTAGCAGGCGGGTTGGAAATCGTAGTTTTCTTCCTGTTTTATTTTCCTCTGTCATCTCTTACGACATTCACGAGAACATAATATGGCGTGGTGAATATTACACGGTAAGAATATCCACTTTTATAATTGATTGTCCTGCCAGTTAATATAATAGGTTGTATTCAGCAACGCTCTTTTATTTTGGCGCATGCAATTTAATTTATTAATTGAAAAAAAAAGCAAATAAAATTTAAAATTTTGTTTGTTTCTATTTTTTTAGTTTATAAACATAAACCTTTTCCATTAAAATACATATATAAACACATCAACAGAATCTAGGGATACCTTAATCCTAAATTATTTAGGTACGACTTTACCTATAGTTTAAAAAATCTTTTTAGTTGCCATAACAAATATACACCGATTGAAAGTTGAAACCTCTTTTATTCTATTTCCAAAATTTAAGCCACTGACCTCTATTCATACGACGTAATGTAACACTTATTCTAATGTAGATTAATCGACACCAGCGCCGTGCAACAGTTTGCAAAAATGTCCAAGCCCACCCGCTCATGCTAAAAAATCTTTTGAATTAATAATATCGCTTTCTAATCATAAATAAAATAACTATTAGAAGTTCCTTCACTGACCTCTATACATACAAGTACGCTGTATATATAGAGGTCAGTGATTTAAGCAATGTAAATAAAAAACAAAAGAAAAAAAGCGGTCAAATTGTTGGTAATTCGTTACGTCGAGAAAAATTGAAATCGTTCTACTATTAATTAATGAAAAGAGATTCGATTGTTTTTCTTTTTTATTATAACGTGCCGTGTGAGCTTTAAGAGTCATGTCACGTCGTCATTTGAGTCGAGATAAAATGTTACGAGCCGCGGGAATATTAGAAAATGGTGCTACTCAACGCGTCGTTGTTGACGCCCTGGACACCAGCCAAAACGTGATATCAGGGATGTGGTAATGAGGATGTGGCTGAATGGCACACGGGTACATATCGTTTTACTGCGCAGTTTTAAGGGGCCCCTCAATGTGTCGTTGCTGAGGCCCTGGACACCAGCCAAAACGTGATATCAGGGTTGTGGTAATGAGGATGTGGCTGAATGGCACACGGGTAGATATCGTTTTATTGCGCAGTTTTAAGGGGCCCGAGACGGTCAAACGGTTTGATTCAAACACGTAGATTTTGGTTTGAATAAAACCAATTAGATCATTTACGCCGTTGTATGACAGGTTTGATCAAACGTTACGTGTTTGAAGCTCGTTTGATGGGAATTTATATTTTTAATTTGTTTGAAGCGCCATATCTTAATTTGTACCATTCTTTGCACCAAATCCTTTTTTTATTATTATTTAAACAAGACAATTATACAATAAGCGGAGAAAATCTTTATCCATAGTCGACGGCATTTTTTGAAATCACAATAGGACTTTCTTGTTGGAACTTTGAAGCCACACTGAACAGAAGCGTTTTATGCGAATTTAAGGCGACATCAAACGGTTTAGTCAAACGTTTCAATTCGAATCGAACCGTTTGAGGGGGCCCCTTTATATGTTCTCATGCTCTCACAGAATACCAGCATAAAATAGCAGCATTAAGCTGCTGGGTTTC